TTTCCCCGCTTTTCTTTCATGGGCAGGTTTTTTTTCAGAACTGCAGTCGGTAGTGGTAATGGAAACTATAATTATTTTATCATAAGGTTCTAATTTTAGCTTTATACAGTATTTTTTTTCGGCGCTCGCAACTGCATATTATTTATAAGGACTATTAATTGGTTCTTTTCCAATTTGTGTCTGATGCGATACTGACTTTACGAACAGACACATCCTAAAAAAATATCCCTACTTTGGAGAGACCCCAGTGAAATATTTTTAATGTACAAAGAAATTGTTCATCCTCGTTGATCCTAGCTGAACTCTCTATATGGCTATAATTTTGGACATATATATATAAGGTCTTAACTACAAATATAGCTAAAACTATTTTTAGAAAAAGTAAAGGACTGTTTTTACTACTGAAATTTTTATAATGTGTTAAAAAAAATTAGATGCTGTATACTTCAACCGTTCTGACTTGCAAAATAAAACCAAGATATGTATATTATACATAGGCTACTTGAATTAACCTGGATACAACCAACTTGAGTCCCTCGAGCTCAATGACCTTATGCAGTGCGAGTGCCGTAGTAGGCCTATTATAACTAGTATAACTTTTACTAAATTGAATGGTATTTTTTCCTCTGTTCCAGTGGGGAGGGTAGTCTTTCTACCATTGCAAACTGCTTCCCAATTCAGTGTAGGCCAAAGGTGTAGGCCAAGGTCCGTGGTGTGTGCATACTGGTGATAGACTAGTTTCTTTTTAATAGTAATAATTTGACAAAAATTATGATAATATTTTTGTGTGAGAGTGTGTGTGCGATTTATAATATATAGATCTAATTGATCTTCTTCAGAGGGTTCCGGATGAGTACTGTGGACTCGTTGCTTCTTATTTCTTATTTCTTATTTGGGACGACATGGTAGTACATGTACATCGTATTACATTACAAATAAGTTAGTTGCTTAGTAAAAAAAACAACTCTTTAAGTTCACAGCAATTTTTTGACTCAGAAATAGGGGCCAAAGTGTTCCAGCACTGAACTGTTTAATTGGTTTTCTACAGTCGGATACTCAAGCACATAATATTACATGTATTATTAATGAGATCCTTCAAAAATTACAATTTTGGAATTGGACCATAATTAGTGTTCAAATAAATTGTGGCCCAATTTCAAAAAACTAAATCAAATCCAAGAGAAAACAACTCTTCTTTTTTTTTACTTACATCTATTTCCGGTCAACTTGTACTTACTTCCGCTTTCACCTGGGAGAGGATAGTTTGAAATCAGGAATGGGAATGAGTGTAATTTTGTGTGTTTTGGAAGGTTTGTAGAATTGTAGAACGAGTTAATGTAGATGTAGTCGTTTTTGTTGTTGTAGGTGATCTTGTAGTTCCGTTTATTTAAGTCCACGATCCATTTGTAATTGTTTAGATCTAGATATAGATCTACATCCAGAGAAGAAATCCAGAAGTCTTGATGACCTAATAATAATAATAATAGTCTCTAGATGTAGATATATAGATCTAGATTTCTAGATCTAGATCTAGATCTAGATTCTATATCTAATATAGATCTAGGTCTCTAGAAATCTAGTCAGAAATGGGAAGGACTTCCGTAACGAGCGACCACCCCATCAAACACAATAAAGAAGAGGCCTAGACCTAACCCTAACCCTACCCCTACCCCTACCACTCAATTCTGGCATCTGCTCTGTCTCATAGTGGTCGCTTGTTACGGAAATCCTCCCTTGAAAGGTTATATAAGAACAGGGAAGGCCTACTTGACAAACTAACTGCAAACGGAGTGATTATTCTCTCCTGGGGTGAGGATAAACTGGATATTATTCTCACCCGGGTTGAGAATATAATTGAAACGGTAATTTTTTACTTTCACTCCCGCACACAGATGCGCTGCTTCAGGCTTCAGTTTCAGGGGTCAAACTGCGGTACTGTTTCAAGTTTGCTGCAGATCACACATAAAAAAGCCACTAAAATACTAAAACTGTCGCAAATCTAGATCTAGATTAGATATATAGATCTAGATCTAGATATTAGATTAGATATTTAGATCTAGATCTAGATCTATTATTTTCAGGAAAATTTCAAATCTAATTGTAAAATATCAAGTTATAGGTAAAAACAGGGGGGCATGGGGGCTCCCCGGGTGAGATTAAAATTATATTTTTATTTTCACCCGGGATGAGAATAACGACAGCCAACTGCAATACATCAAACGAAGTGGCTAGCCGTCTAGACTGCCAGTCTAGCCATACTTAGATCTAAGTTTGGCCCTGACTCAAAAGTACGGCTAGCCTGACAGTCTAGTCGTCCTTAAGTACGGCTAGCCTGGCTGTCTACCCGTACTTAAGTACGGCCAGTCTAGTCGTACTTATCTTAGGCCCTATTAACATTAGAAAACAGGAGGTTTAAAATACATACATGCACTGTCATTAAGGCACCTGGTCCTGGTTTCGTCTCAAATGCAAATACTTTAGGTACTGCACTCTAAAAATGTATATTTACAATTCAGTAGGCCTATTTATTGTAAATGGTCAGTATAGCCATCATATTAAGAATAAGTACGGCTAGACTGCGAGTCTAGCCGTACTTAAGTACTTAAGTACGGCTAGCTAGACTGGCAGTCTAGATCTAGCCGTCATTAAGTACGGCTAGCCTCTTCCTACATCAAATTATGGTAAAATTCAGGGGGGCATGCCCACCTCCCCTCCATATTTTTATTAGGTCCCCCCCTGAAATACCCCTACTCTTGACTTTAATGAACGAAACTACAAAATCGCTGGCTACTCTTCTCTGCTGTCTCTTGTTTGTTGTATTAATTAGATAGGAGGTTATTCCCGGCGGGGAAAACCTAACCCATGACCCGCTATTCTCACCCCTTCCCACCTTGGACATTGACAGTGGGGTAAATTTTGGCTGGATTGTACTTAACCGGACCACCCGCCTCGGCCTGTGATTACTACGCACGCCTTGCCTAACTACGCACTCGTAGTAGTTCTCTACGTGCGGACAAAAGAAGGTAGTTTCTGCCGGCGACTTCGCACACAGCGCAAGCCAGCGGCGAGGCGAAATGAGTGAGAGGTGGTGGTTGAGGGTTGGTAGGGGATTTAACTTTGGTGGACCACCGACGCCACCGTGTATCATACCAACAGTTTTGGGGGTGGGGGGGTTCAGGCCCCCTGAAAACAATAATAAAAAAAACACACAAATGCAAAAACAATAACATGAGCGGACAATGGTGTTTACATATATCAATGTAACAGTGGGGGTGTTTCAGGGGGCCCCCCCTGGCAACAATAATTTAAAAACACTCACACACATATATAAACAATAACATGAGCGGACCATGGAGCTAAGTCGGGGTAGATGTAATTAGAGTTAGAACAGGCTGATCCTTGCTTCGCAGCACTTGCCAAGTCGCGAGCTGGGCCGAGGGGGTTGCAATTATGCAAATGAGCTCTCCTGGGCATCTCTCGCCCTCCATTGTACTTTGCTGGACCAGGAGTAGGCCTAGCCTAGCAGAGTCACGAGCAAATAATAGTGGATAACGTGATTAGATTGGCTAATTAGGGTCAAGGTGTCAGGGTAGTGGGTCAAAGGGCACAGTGGCATGGTTGTGATGACTGAAAAACCCGGTAAGAGACGTCAGTCGGTTGTTTGCTGTCGAAGGGTGAGGACGTAGAAAACTGAGGAGAGTGAGTAGGGGAGCTTGGAAAGGAAGAATAGCGGGCCACTAGGCACCAGGGGCGCCATAGTGAAAGTAGTTCCGACCGGTGCTCCGGTAAAAGTACAATCTTACCTGAATTTTTACTTTCACTCGGGACTAGATCTAGATCTATCTAGAATCTAGTCAAGTTGTGATGTCCGGCTCAGGGTGCTTCCATTTTGGCAAAATCAATTTGGGAATTTCCAGATTGGGCTCTTTATGTAGTTCCCATCCCGCTTATTGTCTAGATCTATATCTATTTATAGGCTATGTTTGATGCGTGGCGAGTGACAGATATTGAGCCTAACTGCAAAACATCAAATTATGATTAAATTCAGGGGGGCAGCCCCCCCCCCCCCCCTCATATTTTTATTTGGTTAACTCTAGGGGCCAAAACCGGCGAAAAAGCACCCAATCTGGGGATTCTGAAAGGAAGTGGCCATCCTCACCCGGGATGAGAATAAAAATACGATAGTTTGTCCTGCTTTGGGGGTCAAACTGCAGTTCTGTTTCTTACAGATCACACATAAAGCCACTAAAACTGTCGCTAATCAATTATTTTTCAGAAAATTTCAAACCTAATGTAAATTATGGGTCAAAACAGGGGGACACGCCCCCTGTAACCCCCAGATTTTCTTTTACCACAGGGGATTAGTCCTAAGCACATCTATCTCGGTTAAAAGAACAATCAAATATTTCAAAAACTATTTTTTTATTTGTGACGGAAATGAAATTGATATTCATGTTCAGCGCATCAATATTTAGTAGAAAATAGACAACTGGTAGCTAAGTGTGAAATGGGAGGGAAAGTAAAAAAAAAATACAGACACTGGTGTAGATCTATATTTTTTATGTCGTTCTAGAAGTAGTTGGGCCTGCTTCAAGCGTTCCATCCCATGAGATGAAAGAGCGCTCTTACAGAATTAAAGATGGGATATGGAAAGTTACGATGCAACAAATGATCAATTACCAGGTCTTTGCTAAAACACATCTTTAATGAACAACGAATAGAATATATATAAATAATGTAAAAGTAAAGCATTTTTCGCCTCTCCAGTAAAAAATGTGTTGCTACTGACGCTAGTGCGCAGGATCCCATTCGTTGCTTACACCCTTAACAGTGACAGGCTTCTCTGCCTGCACTCAGTAAATTATGGATTATGGTTCAAGGAACAGAGAGCATGTACGAACGTAATGAGACACAAGCTCGAGACTAATGCTCTTCTTGCACTGTTCATCTGAAATGTATTTTTCTAATTTCTTTCTCTGCCTGTCTTTCCTTCTCCCACCTCGTATTGAGCATTGCAGGATTGTCTAAGGAAGCACTTGTGATCTTGAGATATCTGTCCCCGTAGAATTATGCAAATTTAGAAGGCCAAATTATGCACACAAAAAAAAGCAAAATTATGCAAAAATTATGCAAGTTACCGTAACACCATTCGCGACAGTTTTGCACTTTTTCAACATGAACAGAAAAATTGAAAACAGAACTTATCAGTATCAGTAATTTGTTGTGTATTTGGAAAAGAAAACAATACACATCAGTAAAAAAACAAAAAAAAACAAAAACAAAACCCAAAAATAATCATCTCTAACTTTCAGCTGTAGATCTAGATCTACTATAGAGGAAAGAAAAATGTAAAAAAAAAAAAAAAAAAAGGACATCTGGACCTCTGATGCTGGCACATTACTAAAACCAGGGACACCTGTCAAACATGAAACATCAGCAGACATGAGAACAACAACTTTTGATGGATTGAAAAATTGAACATGCTCAAGGAACAAAATTACAACCCATAACAAAGATCTTCTAACAAGGGAAATAACCAACTTTTCACTTAAATGAGAGTTATTATGGTGATTACGTCCCTTTAGTCACTTGGCGAGGCGTAAATTCATTGTTTTGTGAAAATAAAAGGAAAAAAAACATGAAAAAACGCAGATAATCCAAAATTATGCAAATGTTGCAGATTTACGCGAAAAAAACGCGGCCGCGCCGCACAATCGCATAATCCTACGGGGACAGAGATATTCCCATGCCACTTTGGTTGGTGTTTTTTTCCCTGCAGGCACGTTTTCATTTACACGGTTTAGTTTTGCCTGTTGTGTTTTTTTACTTTGTTGTTGTTTTAGTTTTAGTTATGTTTTACGGCGCTCGCAACTGCATAAGCTCATATGAGCGCCAAGGGGTGGATGTCAACAGAGAAGTCCAAACGGGGATCAGGCTTACTCTGCTCACCTCTCTAGCTTCAACAGCATAGTCTGCTTCGACTGTCAAGGCACCCCGGAAATAGCAGTTCTCATGAGAGTGACAAACATTCCGAAGAAGTAGAGTGAGAAGGATGACAATAAGGATGAGGAAAGAAAAGCAGCAGTTCCCCCTATATGTTGGTCCGGCACCGTATGAGCGTGACATTGATAAATCAGCTCATTTACAATTCTACAGTGTGTAAGAACATGTTTATATCCTCCCCTTTGGGAATGACCTGAAGACACAATTCAGTCAGTATCACTGCCGGAGGGGAGGGGAGGGGGGGGGGGGGATTACTTTGTCATCAGTGCTGTGGTACTTTACATGGTTGAAATAAACATTCAATTCATTCTTAGTGAAATTGAACCCTGCATGTTATTGCATTCTTGTGGTCAACACAAAGAGGTTCTAACCACCCAATGTAATAAGAAAAAAGGTGCAAAATGACATATTAGCTGGTGTGTGTTTGAACACATTTTATCTAATCCTTAAATAATCAATGGACCGTTGAGCTTGACCAAAATTTCAACTGGAATGTTAGTCCGTTATTCACTTGGGCCATTTTTTTGAAAATTTATTTGTGTGTCTAATTGGTTTGTCCCCTGACTGGGCCACATATAATAAAGCCAAACTTACATTATAATTTAATACAAATAAACGATCAAAACTCCTCATTCGAAAATCAGTGGTACTCAGTTGAAAAAACATGATGTCATTAGAAATTTTCCTTCGCACTGTTTGTCACAATGAAATAAAGGAAAAGAGCCACTCCTGATACTTGTTCCTTTTGAAAACGGCCAAAGTGTTGAGTATCATACAATGAATGAAAGATGGCTGAAAGATTTTTTGATGTGATGATTTTTATTGCAAAGAGGTATCTTTTTCTTTCTTTTAGGATAATGGATCTAAATATGCAGGACAGCAAGGGACTAAAAATGAGGCCTGCTGATTTTGGAAATCGCCTCACCTTGAAGAAAACTACTATAGCAGTCAAAAAAGACAATGCGTCTGGAGATGATGAATTTGACAAAAAAGAGTTGAACAAAGAAACAGTAGCGTCTCATCTTGGTGCCGACACAAATAATACACCAAAAGAGTGTTTAAAAGACAATACTGCAAAGACAGCCCTTTTTGCTTCGAACCATGAAAAGAAAGACATGCCGATGGGTGTGAGACCCAAAGAGTCTGACAACATGTGGGTACGACGTGATGAGAAATCAATACCAGGGAACATGCAGAAACAAGATGGAGGTTCCAGAGTTCAGCAATATCATAAGGTGGTTCCTCCAAAGCCTACAACAGATACAAAAACAGTTCAGAAAATCTCAAAGCAGCCTGAAAGTGACCTATTGAAGATTACTCCCTCGGAAAGTAAGACTGAAAGGAATGAGGAAGCAAAATCTAAGACTGGGGCAAACTATGCAAATGATGTGAGGCCAAAGGAAAGTTCTGCGAAGGAACTGTCAAAGTCCTCGATGAAGCAGTCACATCATAGGGATGATAGTGGACCTACAATTGGTCTCAAAAGTGATGATCATGGACTTAAGATTAAATCTGGAGTGTCTGTACCACAAAGAATAGATGTGGCTCATTTGCTGAAGCAAAAGGACTCTTTTGAAATTGAACTACAGCAGATTCAGGTAATTGCTCTTTCTTTGTTGGGGAAGGGGGGGGGGTTGTTGTTTTTTTCAATTTTATCTGAGAGTATTCATGTACATTATTTAAACTGTTTTTCTTGAGACCCCTTGTAAAAAATGCATTTTCTTCCTTTACCATGGAATGCTCAAAAACTTAAAGGAAATGAGGAAAGATTTCTTTGCCCTTCGGTGATTAAAAAATATTACTGTTGTATTTTTTTTTTAGAACTTTGGCATTTAAATTTTAATGAACATCATCACTTATATTGATTGATAGCGTTTGTTTTGAAAATCTGCTCTTCGGTTTGCAAGTTTTGATGAATAAAGTTTTTAAAATTTTCTTCTCTTTGTATTGAGTGAGCAACTTATTTTAGCAATATCCTAAAGTATTCATCACAGTCTGGGAACCTCCTAAATAAAGTACTTGAGATCTTGCCTCTTTTGAATTCATCTTGAGTCCCTAGCTGGTTTGTTCACCTTCCTGCTAATTTTATTTTTTATTTCTGAACCTGAAAGATTTTGCTTCCCTAAAGGTTTTTAATTGTTTGTGTAGAACTATACGTGAAAGCAAATACATTTTTTTCTGTGACAGTGCAAGCAGCAGCTTACATTTGTGTAAAAGATTCTTCATTATGATAAAATAATGTCTCATGTTTATTCTTATTCTCTTCAATACAGTCGAGACTGAAAGGAATTAAACTTGACTGTCTTCCAGACAATGGAAAGCGCATTATTGACTCTATAGAAGCGAAAAAGCAGAATATCAGAAAGATTGATCAACAGATTGAAGTATACATGTCCAGTGGTAAGATTTTTCTGTTTGCTTTGTTCTTTGCGTAACTTCCTTAAATTTTATTCGAAACTTGAAGAATTAAAAAAATTCCTGTATTATGTTAGATGAGGATTACTTGGTAAAAGGAGCTGAAGCATTGATGGTCCTGCTCATAATAAACGTGCAGAAAAGTTTGTGTTGTGTGTGGGGGGGGGGGGGGGGGGGGGGGGGTAATCATTCTGTCTTTGGCAAAATTAAGATGGATAGATTGTCAGTTTGGGGTCTGTTGAATTTATTTTTTCGCGGTAAATGGCTCATGCTTGTGGAACTTGCACATGTGTTCTGTTATGATAAATGAATGCACTATTTGACTTGAATTTTATATTTGTCTTTTCTTTGCCCCGTAGCCAAACAATCCCAAGGTGTTGGCCAAAGTGGAGCAGTACCCATGAAAAATTCAGGTGATGGTGCTAAAGTTTCAGACAGGTCAACATCTGCTGTGGACACTCAGGTTAACAGAGTTCCTGTCTCCCGTGTCATGGTAAGTGTGTTGAAAGGGAACTGTTTTGAGTTTTGTCTGTATTGTAAACTGTTTGTTGAGTTAATTTTTCTCTTTGTGTCACAAGCTCTTAAAGTTTAGGGTCACAGTCATATCCTGTGCTTGGCTGAAGAGTGCCACTCACAGCACCGAATCAGCGGTCGTTTAGTTTCGCCAGGCTGTAGGCTGCTAGGTCAGCGTGACTGGGGTCAGCTGCCGGTCAGTCTACCTTTGCTCACTCCACGTGCGGGGTTACATACCACGGCAATTTTACACAGTTTTGTTTCAACGCTCACGAATGAAAGCAGGGCTATCAATATACCCTTAATGTTCCATTTTTGAGTTTCTACTTTCAATGTACAGTTTGTGAAAACGCAACGAAGATATCTAGTATAGTTTTTTTTAACTGCATGTGATCAAATACAGCTGTTTTATATGTGGTAATTAAGGCAATATACACCAAATTAAAAGTTATGTAACTACCAAAGTGCCGGATAAAATTCACTAAAATTTGCTCTGAATAAAGACAATTAATGTGGGTATCTACTTACCAAAGGACATCATTGTTGGAAGATTAGTAATCCACATTTTTGCATTTTCGTTCAACAGCCAAATTCGTCGGGCTTGTGATGAAATTCACATTACAGTATCTTTCATTAAATGAATGACCCAGATCTCTTTACACATTTAGTATGGTAGATCTATACGCTTATCTATGGCGCTGTGGTTGTTTTCTGGGTGCCTGCAGCCTCGATGCGCAGTGAAGGTGCTCTCTGGAGCAAATGTGCGTTCATAGCATATCGTAGTTTTTCTGTATTGTTTACGATGCATTGATCCCACTTTTCAATTTTTAAAATAGACTGGTGACTGCTTTCGGTTCCTTGTACTCCCAGCAGGCCCAAGACAAAGCCGTGTTGTGTTATGGATGGAATGCAGTGTTGTTCTAAAATGCGCTATTTGGGGATTTTCTTTTTTGGTAAATGTCTTCTGTACAGCTTCGTGTACATGTATATTGCTGTCTGAATTCGTGGAACAGAGGTTTTCGGAATAGGTGCACTGTGTGAGATGTCATTATGAACGTGTTAGAAATGAATCACGGGCAAATGGATTCTACCTAATATCGTAACACGGTTCAGTCAACAAAGATGAAATTTATACACAGTAAGCACAAATATGTCTGCCTTTCATAGAAACAACAATCTATGAAATTAACGGAGAACTTAAAACAGCATAGAATCCAGTATACACAGTTGCACAGGCCAAATAGCAAGGCTCTGGATGAGAATCAGATGTAAGCAACTTAAAATTGCAATATTCTTCAAACAATTATGAAAATTATACACATAAAGCACAAATATGTAATCAGTGCATGTACCAAAATTTGTTGAGATTGAGCCGGCATTTTGGAAATTAAAAGTGAATTAAGTGCAGCACACACATATTAAATTCGATGAAATTTAGAACATTTTGCACACACTGTAACATTGGCAAATATCGTCGCATTGAGATCGTGTTTTCGCAGACTGAGAAGGGGGAATCTTGCTCTTTTCTTATTGTATGGGATAATTCATGGTTAGAGTGCGGATACTGCCAATAATTAGTGTCAGAAGTGTCGATCACGCCATGACCTGCCTGCCTCTAACTGATGCGCAACGGAGCGGCCAGTGACCCCCACGTGACCCGGCACGGAGTGGTTCGGATTTAATGACTTCCAGATGTCGCTGGCCTGGGAAACTAAGAGGCACAATTTCGGCCAGTTTTCGGCGCTGTGCAGTATCACTAATTTGTCCCATTTCTCTCCCGTCCCATGCTATTGTTGTTGTTTCTGTCTTATTCCATTTGTTCTAGCAATATTATATACTACATATGACTGTTGTTGTGTTGATGTGCTTCTTGTTATCTTAACAATTAATTTTAATGGTTGCATCTTTTTATGTATATGAATGTAAATTCATTTTGTAAAGGCAGAGTATGAAATATGGTAAAAAAGAAATGGATCTATAGTTAGAATGTTCTGTGATTTATTTTGGATTAAAAGATTATTTTATTGATGCTGGAATTAAGTGATCATCAGTATGTTCAACGGCTAGAGTAGTGACAGAAGTAGCCTAATAATTCTGAATGTATATTCAAAGATAAATATTTCAACGTTTAATTCCTAGCGGATATTGATTATTTATTTGAACGCTATTTTGTTAGTGTCGAAACTAAACTGTTTTAGATGTTTTAGGAAAAATTGATTTTTTGTAGGATTGATCAACTAGCTTAGCCACCTGCAAATCAGGCACTGAAAATATCAGGGTTTAACTTCTATCTTTTTGATAGAATTAATTTCACTGTTTCAGAATCATCTTGTTACAGTATCAGGTCAGTTCCCAGTGTAATGTCAGATCAACTGAAAAGAAATAAAGTTCTGCGTCTGAGATATACTGGGAAAGCTTTAAATTTCATTTTAATTGTTTTCAACTGATACTTTTCAGGAACCAGTTCCTCACAGTGGAAATGACCTGAAAACTGTCAGCAGTTCATCCAGGCATAAAGTGATACATCCACCTCAGCTGGGTACTCAAGGCAAGCAGGTCATTGTTGTAAAGAAAGGGGATGCATCCGCTGCAAGTGTTCAGGGGAAGCAAGTATTTGTTGTGAAAAAAGGGCCATCATCTCAGGTCCAGATGTCCAACTCAGGTGTTTTGCCGAGTGCTCATGGCAGTAGTGGTGGTGTCAGTATGGCTCCAGGGCCACAGAGGCAGGCCATTCTAGTGCAGCAAAGCGTCCCACATCTCAGTCACCTACCGTTGCACCTACAGCAGTTCTTTGCAGGTAATAGTTATGTTGTCTCAGGGTTGTTTTTGTGTTTCACACAAAGGTTGTTGTCTAATTTTTATCACCAGGTGTAACTATTCAAGTTGTCTTTTCAGACCTGCCACTCCTCCCTCTTTTTCCCCCCCCCAAATCTCAAGCATTGCGATTTTTCAAGATTTTGATTGTGTATATCTTGACTTTTTCGTTTCATCAACTGCGCCTATTTTTTAAAAAAAAGAAGCCTTTTCTGCCTTCTGTTTGGATGGAAGCACAGGCTTGAATATTTATCAGCAGGAACTATGAACATTATTTTCTAAAATATCGATGTAGTATCAATTTGACATTCTGACTTGGATATTCTTAAGATCTACTTTTGCTGCAGCTGCACCTGATTATGGCCTAGTAACTGGTACAATTATAACATGTGTATGTGTTGCTTTATAAACAAGCTTTGTACGAGTTCTGGTTAGTCGGACCCATCATCAAAACCTGTCAGTGAAACTGTTTCAGGCGTGAGTTAACATCATGTGACATGACTTCTTGTGAGTACTGCATGTGTCGGGAATTGCAGGTTATCAGGGTCAACAAAGTTCATTCACAGTGGTTGAATTGTCTTTTGGCACTTATCGGACACCCTGGGGAGTGTCTGTGCAAGATACTGCGGTGAGGAATGGCGTGTGTGTATATATACAATCAGAGTCATACCTTGTTAGTGTATGAAGTCGTATTCGTCGCTGATCGTGATTGTTTTTTACGCCAGTTCCTGATTTCCCCTCCCAAGACCCTGACCTTGAAAGTTTCATAGAGTCGCAGGTCTGTTTTTATAGATGTTGTCCATTAGATGTCAGAATCTTTCTTGTTCTTGCCTCACATTTCTTTATTACGTATGTTTTTATTTGGTGCCAAATAAAGATGTTGGAAGCCTAGTTTATTGTCTCTTTGGCTTTTAGTGTGAATGCAGAACAGTTAAAAGTTTTGTTACTACAAAAAAAATCATCAATTTGAAAAGGTTTTTGTTATGTGAAGGTACAGCATCATTTCTTTAAAAACTCATAATTTCATTTTTGATCGGTCTCTTTCTTTTATTCTTCTTTTTGTCAGCAAACCCTCAGGCAATGACTTTGTATGGAGGTAGGATGACAGCTCAGAGGCTCCGAGAAGTTGGATCAATTACCACAGAGGCCATTGACAAACTGCATAAGTATGTGATCAGTATTTAGATCATTCTGGTCTACTTTGTTGGCCCACTTGACCTATGGTGACCTTGATTTCAAGCATACTCAATGAGAATGATAATGTGCCTTGTTCACAATACAATGGAATCTGCTTAAACGGAACATGGTTAATCTGATAACAGTGGTGTACCAAAAGAAAATGAATTCTCCCAATTTTTGCTTCTTTGTAAGAAAACAATCGATTAGCTGAAATGCTCTAAACCAAAAGAGTCTCAAGGTTTGTGTCGTCATAGTCTTCACTAACAATCCTCAAATAGTGCAAAGCATTGAGACTTACTCATACGGGGCGGCTGTCTTGGTTGAGACGTACAGTGTTTGCCTCTCATTTAATAGGTCCTGGGATTGAAACCTGGCGCAGAAAAATTTCCTTGTCTAAAATTTTCCACTTTCTCCTCTTGTTCGGTTCTCTTGTCCTGTTCTGTTACCAGCTTTCATAAGCTTTCTTTTTCGCTTCTCTTTCTACTCTTTTGTCTGTTTTGTGTGACTCTGGTAGATTAAGCTAGCTAACATCAAGTACAACGAGTACAGTTGCCATTCAATTTGCAGTTACTGAAGGAGGTAGATGAGGAAAAAAGATTCAAATAGTAAAATTGCAGCAAGCGTGACATTCCCAACTCTATGCTTTGGACAATCATCGCTATCTGAGCAATCGACTCTTAAACCAAAGAAAATCCAGCAGACCCACAGATTTCAGTTTCAGTAGACTCCACTGCACGTGACACATACATAAGGGTCTAAATAGCAGGAAATCTCACTTGTCCATTTTCTGAGTAGGATTTTTGCTTTCATTGTGGGCATGTCACTTGGTGTTGTTGACTTCACATGGTTTAATTTGACTGGCATTTACCCTGTCTCTTTTGGGGTAAGTAAAGTTCTCATTGTTGTTTTTATGCCGTACTTACTGAAAATACTTTCAGTGTGTGTCAAAGGCCACTCTTAAAAGTTAAAATTAGGGTGCAAGCTCTGACAAGTACGTGAAAAAATGAAAATATTGTAAAAATCATAAGTTGCGTGTAATTTACCATTTATTTGCTTTAATTTTTAAAAGTCCTCATGCTGTTTCAGATACTCCTGTCTTATTATTTATTGTAGACTTAGTTCTTTAAAATCTGTGTCTATGTACACATTTCAGATAACTTCAGATTTCTTTTAGATTTTTGATGCTTTTGAATTGCAGCTTGTCTATATTCCATTGCAATGTTTAAACAGATAAAGGATCAGCATTCTCTTTCTTTTTTCATTTGCAGACAACTTGAGACCTGCCCTAGTGATGAGACTGAAACACCTGACCCAGCTGGTTTAAATGTCACACTCATGCCACATCAACGGCATGCCTTGGCCTGGCTCTCGTGGAGAGAACAACAACACCCACCTGGGGGTATTCTTGGTAATTCTGCTGGAAGATTTCTTCTTCCTTTCCCCTCATCTGCCCCATCCCTTTCCAGCTCCTAGGTATTATGATGTTAGTAAACAGTTTTTATTCTTGAATCTATTCATATTTTTACTTTACAACCACTTGCAAAAATATGTATTTCTTGAGCTGTTTGAAAGCACCTCTGGTCGGTCATATTTTGTTTCAATCTGCTGTCTTGCTTTTACTATACAACAAAGATTCTGCAAATATTTTTTTCTTTCATTCTGTGTGTGCCTGTTTCTGTAATAATCCTTTTTTAAATATGTTTTTGCTACCCAGATGTAACATTTGCTTTACAATTAAGACTTTGTACAGTTCAAGAATACCGTTTTATCATTGACTTCCACAATTTGCTAACTGCCATAGAATGTTGAAAATGGTAGCAAAACTTCCTGTTTATCGAGTGGCTGGCAGATGCTGTGGTGTGGTAGCTCCTACTTTGCTATCATACATCTATCATCCTCATCTCTCCTTTTTTGTGTTTATTACTGTCTTGTAACAACATCTCTAATCTTCGGTGATTATATAACCCTATTGTATCGCAAATTACATAATAGTTGTACTAAAACGAAAAAAACTTGCTGTTTAATAATGAGGCTCTTTAATTTAAAGTTGGTGTCTGACAAGTGTTTTTGTAGTGTGGTCCTTTTTATTTGATTTTTAAAATTCAGCATATCAGGTTTTTTACCATGTGTTGTTGCTGTGCATATAATGTGATGTTAATGAGAAAGTGTCTTAGCTCAAACATACACTTTCAGTTCTTCTGACCTTTTTATATTGATGTGTGAGAGCAACTGGTGTGCTGTGATATTATTTTGACATACTAACAAGCCAAGTATTTTTTTTTTTTAAATCACAGCTGATGACATGGGTCTTGGGAAGACGCTGACAACAATTTCTCATATTTTGAGATTAAAGCAAGCAAGGGAAGAAGCAACTGATGATGAGTGGCAAAGCAGAGACAAGGAAGTTGAAAAATGTAAGAGTGAATAGTTATGCTATATATTTTGACTTGTAAAGTACACTCAACCATGAGCATTATGACTTTTTAATGAGTTAAAAAGAGACCACTTTCCATAGCAGTGTCTAGGAGATTACACTAAAGTTGATTTAAATGCACATAGAATAATGGCCGACATAAGTTATTTGCATGAGTGTAGGGCTGGTCTAAATGTGATTAGTTGTAATCATAACTTCAAAGTTTCAATGCATTTTGAAGGGAAGAAATGTCAATCTTTCCTCTCTTACTTCAAAGTGGCTTTGCTTATTGGATTTCCCTTATACCATATGAGCCATCCTCAAAAAATGGAACCCTAAAATGTTACATAGGTGCTGAAAGTGAAAATCCAATCATTGGACTTGGAGTACTTTCAAACTGACATTGAAAACCGAAAGTTAAAGAAAAAGTAAAGTTTTAAGGCTGTAAGTTGTTTTGAAATGCATATGCTGAGAAAAAAAATAACGAAACGTTCAGTGGTGTCTGATGTGATGGGCGACACACATAACTGTACTACATTCATATGGTTTTATCTGTAGATGACCAGATATATAATATTAATATGTAAAAATGACCATCTGTTAACCTCGTATACAATAAAATATTGTCTCATGTGGAGAATATACAGGTTATGTCTGTATGAATGTGTTTCATCCATCACGTCCAACACTTACAAGTTTTGTAGTGTAGAGAGAACTTATGATTATTTCTCCTAGGCAAGGCAAGGCTTTCCTTCTTTCTCAGCATCAAAATATATCATAATCGAATCTAGATGCAGAAGTGACTATAAAGAAATTAGACTATTAAGTAACGCATGAAGTGTTGGTTGTGATGATGACACATGATCATGTGTCACCATCATGTCCAATACTAAATTGAAAAAAGAATTATCTCTGTAGTACAGAAGAACTTTGTGATAATTGTTCTCAAGGCTCAAAGTTGGCTTAGTGTTATCATTAGTGTCAATATATTCTGTTAATCACATTGTAAGTATTTGAGTGTTCAAAACTTAAATGCACCAAGGTGTTGGATGTGATGATGGCCCCAACTTTCATGCAAGTCTCCATTCTCTTATAATCAGTTATGATTAATTGTGCTGAGGACCAGATAGACGGAGGAAAAATACTTTTCTTTAAAAAATATTTTTTTATTGTGTTAATATTTGGAAAAAAAACCCAACTAATTTACCTTGATTTTTCCTTTGTTTTCATTATGTTGAAATGGCATTTGATTTATTTAGGGTTTTCCCCCTGTTTTTTTCTGTTGCAGTAAACAAAGCTATAAAGAAGTCAAAGGCTACACTCATTATTGCACCAGCATCATTAATTCATCAGTGGGGTAAAGAAATTGAGCGCCGTTGTCGGAGAGGCTCACTGAAATTTCATCTGTACCATGGTCCAACCAGGGAAACAAATATTAAAAGGTAGACATTTTGTTGTTTTTTCCTGTAAGTTTTTTAATACAGGGTTGTCTTACTTATAAAACTTTGTTACCTTGATGATGATTACTCAGAAGGGTTTGAATATTTTTTCACAGATTTAAGTGAAATCTTGTCCCAAGCTCCTTTGTTCTACTGGCCCCTAGATTTTCATGGTTTTGATGTTTTTGTTTCCCCCACTTTAACATCAGCAGAGCTTTGCCTTTTCCATTTTCGAAAATGTTATTATTTCTTTATCCTATCTTATGATAATATCTCTCCCCTAAGTATCTCTACTTAAAATCTCATAAACATACTTTTGCTGATAACGAAAGCGCTGTGCCTTTTTTAAAATTAAAAAAAAAAAAATTATTTGTGCTAAGAGCATTGAGCACTCGACTGCTGGAGGCGCCCCCTCCTCATCCTGAACTTAATTGATCAAGGGCTGTAAATGGGCTCTGTGGTTTGGTCTGCTCTTTCAGTGTTTTGATTGTCTCAGTGTTTTGATTGTCTTTCTCTGTTTCTGGCAGAGCATGATTGTTTATATACTGACTTGTTGCAAACTACAGCCCAAAAATACTTTGAATTTGATTTTTCATGAAGTAAGGAAATATTGTGTTTTTGATAACGATTTTCTGTTAAAGATGTCACAGTTATGCATGCTGTCTTAGTGGTGTATGTGATTAAACTAGGGGTATTGTTTTTATTGTGTATGCTTCAAATTTCATATCCCTGTCTAGGCTTACTGACAATGACATAGTGATCACAAGCTACAGCATTGTGGCCAAAGAAGTGGGACAGGACAAAAGTGAAAGTGCGGAGCAGCCTGCTACTGATGGAGCTGGGGAAGAACAAGAGGATGCAGATGGTCCATCGAAGCAATCAGAGGTTAGAAATACTGGTCTAAAAACTCAAGCTGCAATCAAACTCCTTCTCTGTCGTGCCAAAGACTAGTTTATTCAGACCTGCCACTCATACCGATTTAATCGGGTTATCCTGATTTCTTGCCCCAAATATCAAGGATCCTGATTTTCCAGATTTCGATCGCATGTATCCTGATTTTTTGTTGTTACGTCTGTTGCATCGGACTTTTCTGACTTCTCTTTTGCTGAGAAGCACCGATTTCACTTCTAAAAAAAAAAACTCAGCAGGATCTTAGAAAGCTATTTTTTAAAACATCAATGTCGGATCTAGTAGTTGACTTGCAACACGTTTTTCCAACTATAATCGAAGTAATATCGATTTAGAATTCTGACTTGGCCACTCTCAAGATCTATTTTCGCTTTTGTTACTCAGAATTCTCTGATGATGGCCTGATAACTGTAACAATTCTGGCATTTGCCTACAAATATCAGTATTATTCGTTGATCTGCTGTTGCTTTAAAGCAAGCTATGTCCAGGTTCTGGTTTGCCGGGCCCGTCATTGAGACTTGTCAGTGAAACTTTTAAACGCACATTCAGATCACGTGACATGACCTTGTGTGAGTAGCATGTGTGTCAGGGACCGTCGACTGTCGAGGTCAACGAAGTTCATTTACCCTGGTCACATTGGTCGAAGTGTCTTTCAGGACTTACCATGTGTGTGGAAGACCGGGGGGGTATTTTTAGACACGAGCTCTTGAAGTGCTTGATGTGATACATGTTACTTATTCAGGATAAAAGAACGAGAAAAAAAAATCTTGGAACCAAATTTTAGATTTGATTGGAGCTGAGGTATCGGCATGATGGTGCGATGGGGGATGCCTTGAGAATATATGTGATTGAAGTCGTACCTTGTTACTGTATGAAAACGGGCGCTTATTGCATGGGTGATTCAAGTTTTATGTGTAAGCTATTTTCAAACTACAAGTTTCAGCACCTGTGCAACCTGAGCTCCCACAGTCTATCCAACTCTGACTCAAGTACATACTCTCTTTCAATTTTTTCATTTGAAGCCCAAATATGAACTTATTCCTGCAAAAGTTTTGTCTTGTATGCTTGCCTCACAAAAGAGAACCAAGTACACCCCCCTCCCAATGCCCTTTATGACTTATATGCCCCGTTGATCCTAATTTTTTTCACCAGATCCTGATTTTTTCTCTCTGAGATCCTGATTTTTTAGATTTCATAGAGTGGCAGGTCTGTTTATAGATTATTTGAGATGTTTCTAAGCTGCCATCCCAAAACACAGTAGATCATTTGGGAGGCTTGAATAAAAAGCTTTTGATTTTACATCTTTTCCTCAAGAGGGAAGAACCAAATCAATACACTACAGGTGATGTTCTCCAAGACTGGCTGGCATTACGAAATATGATCATGTAACATGCGTTATAGGGAATAGGTTCTTGAATGAGTAGCCATTGTAATGACTAACATTTCTACCTGTTTATCATTATACAACTTCTTTTCTTTCTATTCTTTCTGTATTTCTTTCTTTCTTTTTTTGTTTTGTTTTGTTTCTGTCTATATCTTACTTTTGCCCCAAGCACTATTTGATGGATATATAGTGTTTTTTAGTATTTCCTATGACCCGTAAAGCCTGCACTAACAGAATGCTATCGAAATATCAAAATACTGATTATGTATCTAGCAATGTCAACCGAGCTGGTGTACCTGAATGAATTAAGGTCACCGCTAGGTGGTGTAGCTTTGGACTTCTGGAATGTGGGTGACTTATTATTTTCTCAAATTGTTCAAGCACTATTTTTTTATCTATAACAATGAAACTTGGCAACTAGTCATGAATTAGGGCAAACCAATGATCTGCCAACGTTGAGCTTTGTACCCATATTCTTTGTGCTGGGAATATTTTCTTGTCCGGAGTGTCGTGAACTACCGGGAGGGGAATTTTCATCGTATTAAAGTAACTCGACAAATGTGTGTGATCTGCAAACAGGGATGTAAATCTTCCGTCTTTTTCCGTTTTTTACGGCCGACTTGCCATTTGGGCCCGAGCTTTTAACAAAAGTCTACTATTAACAATACACATTATATATACTAAATAGAGATTATTTGTTGTAACAGAGGGAAAGAAACAAATATAATTTAGTCCCACTGTATTCTTTTTTCAGTCAGTGTGCGCGCTGTATATTTTCCAGCTTTTTTTTTTCAAAACCTGTTTACATCTCTGTACAAATCCCTGCATGATTATTTCAAGCTCTTTCATAGGTCTCTTGAAAGGCATAGGCCAGCGGGTGCATCCCATTTCATTCTCTCTTGCCCAGTTACATTATAATGAGTTGTTAACTTAATGGAAAAAGAAGGCTTTTTAATTGTCTGGTATCTTGGTAAATCTGACAACAGAAATGAATTCTGCATCCGAAAAAACACGTTGAGTCGCCAAGTTTCATTCAAATTCTCCAGCTAGTTGCTGAGATTTAGTTAATTATCATACACAAACTGTTGTTAAGTGGTCTGCTTTTTTGAGAATGTTTTCCATTTTAAGGATCACCCATGTTTTGCTGCACCCCTATAACCTTTTTATTTATGGACTGATTTTTTACATTAAGAGATACACTCAGCAGAAAAGACAGCCCTTTCTCTGGCAGCAAACAAAAAGGGGCTAAAGTGAAAAATCAATTTTTCAATGGCATTTCTAAAGTATCTTTCAGACATTATTAGCAATTGCTCATTTATAACTCAAAAACATCTATGCGTATGACTATGGGTCTGGTTGTGAGTTTAAGCGCATATGTTATGTATGTAGGAGAGAGGTTGTATGAGAGAGAGAGTTTAGTTTTTAGTTTTAGTAGAGTTTTTACGGCGCTTGCAACTGCATATGGTCCTATGAGAGAGAAAAAGTGTGTGTGTATGCATGTACATTGTGTGTGTGTGTGTGGTTAAGCAACAAACTGATGTGCCTGTGTCTGGATAATAAAATTTATCTTATCTGTTTATGTGCTTCTCTTTTCTCAACCTACAAAATAAATAATTGTGAAACTTTGATTTTCAGTTGCCGTTACTCTTGAGAATTGGATGGGAGCGCATTATATTAGATGAAGGACACAATATCAAGAATCACAAGTCGGTTACTGCAATGTCGGTCTGCAGACTGAGGGCTGCGTATCGTTTCGTCCTCACTGGCACTCCCATACAAAATAATCTTCTGGATATGTATTCTTTATTAAGGTATTGATAATAACATTTGTTTAGCGAGCCCCATTTATGCCTTAGTTGTACTTCCTGATTGTCTCCTGTAGTGGCTGCTGTCGAACTGCATGTCCTCTTACAGCTTTCATGTAGTTTGTAATTTGCGCTGACTTGAGTGATATCCTGATGTTGTTTATTAAACGCTTTTGTTCATTGTAACAACCACAATGTTGTTTGATTTGTAATCTAGGCTGGATTGATTTGCTGGCTTTTTTAACATTGTTAAGCTGTTGGTAGATTCTTCAAAAAATGTTCTGACCGTGTGTTGTTTATTTTTCAGGTTTTTGCGCTTCAGTCCCTTTGATGAACTTAAAGTCTGGAAAAGGCACATAGACTCTGGCAGAGGTAAATGATTTGTACTTTTGACTCTTTTGTATCCACCTTGATGGAGTTGTAAAAATGTCCTTTTAGAATACATTACTGAGCTCATCAATCACCTGGTCTGGCTAGATGCCATCCACTTAATGCTGCTGCATTTAATTATTTTGAGCTTTCAGTTCATTCTTTTATTATTTTAAAAACTTTCGGATGGCCCCAAAAAAGGTTCCTTTTTACTAGGGTTGCTAGTTTGGCTTTTAATGATTTTTCTGATTTTGACATACATCAGCAATATCAAAAGAATACCCTGGTTGGAGAAGGAGGGGAAAATATTGAGAAACACTTCAGTAGAATACTGTGGTTTTAAAACTCATTAATCCTTGTAGTATGATAATCATGATGCTGTTATTCCAAGTTATTCTCACAGTTGAAAGTAGACTAATGGAAAAGTTTCTTTTCTTGAAATCCCAAAATTTTTTATGGTTCATTCAGTAAAAAGTCTCTTTTTGTTCATGCAAACTCGTGATGGATGGACAATGATAGTGAAAGGTAGTAATGGGGATACTCAGGTAAATTTTTTGTACTCAGTTGTTAGGTATGACATGCTATTTGATGTCTTGTTTTTTTTACTTAAGGTGATACCAAGCGACTTAACACCATTGTTAAAGCACTTCTACTGAGGAGGACAAAAGAAGATACTTGCAAGGAAGGAAAACCAATTGTGGATCTGCCCAATAGGTCAAGTCAGACCATCGATGTTCATCTATCTGAAGAGGAGCGCAGAGTCTATGACAAGCTTTTCCGCAGAACACAGTCAGTACTAGTGGTGGTGTTCACACTGCTTTGTGTCGTTTATGTATTTACAAGGTTTTTGAAATGTGTGTAGTGAGGGAGTGCTTGATATGAAAATGGCCAGAAAACATGTGTTTGTGAATTTTATTCAAGTGTGCACTTTACTAAAGAAAGTTTTGTTATTTTGACCACTGTACAATTTTATTTATAATACTCAGCAGAGGTCTAGTGATGTTTTGAATGATTTGAGTGATGATGGTATTTGCTTGCACAAAGGTGAGGCCTTTTTTTCCCCTTCTCTTTAAAGTCTGCTTCAGCATTCCTATATCATTATTGCCCTTCTCTGCTTTAGATAAAATGTGACAAGTCTTGTGCAGACTTTCCTCAGACTTCAACACCGTACAGCTTTCTCTTCTTTACTTTTATGTGCCTCTTTTTTCTTTTCTTTCGTAAGGCGGAGAGTCCAAGAGTACATTCAACGTCATGAAGAAAAAGGTTCAGGGGTGTCTGGCCACAGCAGGTCTTTGGAAGGTGCCCCTGGTAGGTCCAACTTCTTTTCTAGCTGTATTTTGTTTTTGTAGTTGGTCCCCATTTTTTGTTTTCTTTGCTGGCACCAATGACTTTTAGTGTGTTACTTTGCTTCTCTCTTTCAATTCAAATGAATAATGTTTATGCTTTTAAAATCTATATAAAGCTTCTTCTTGGTTTTACAATTTCAGTGTGTACGTTTTATTTATGTATGTCATAACGAACTTAGTATTCTGCCGTAAGCTGACAAAAGACCTTTTTTCATTTTGGTGACATTTTTTATTTGCTAAATTGAAAGCCTGAAGAGTTACCCTGCTTGTGTGAAATTAGAATTTAAATTTAGAAATCACTCTATTTTTCAATGGTTGCGCTGACAAAAAAACCCCTCTCTTATTTTCGAAACTGCTGTGAAGAAAAAAAGGAGTTTTGTCTGCTTAGACAGTATTCTATATTCTTCTTCTGGATGCTCAGGAAAAGTTTCAGAAAGTTAAATTTTTACTCTATGTGCAGTGTGTAATTCAGGCAGTAAATCCGAACGAGATGTTGAGATGAGTAATGTTGTGAATGTCCCCTTTCTGTGTTCTATCTTGGTTGTTTCCCTATCCGTGCGTGGCTGTGGCACAAATAATGGTCACTTTGGTGCTGTTAGGGGGCTGTCAGATTCTCTCAGTAGATGGAAAAGGTACCAAGTTTGCAAGGCCACTGTAAAATTGATTACTATTACATATTTGAAGAAGTGCTGTTAGCCTTAGTGTTTTTTTTCTTTTTGTAGCACATGGAACACCTCTTGACCGTGAAGCTCAAAAGTTTGGCCCTTCTGCAACACGGAGTACTGGGAGTGACTTGTTGGTCCTACTGCTGCGCCTCCGCCAGTGTTGCTCCCACCTCAGTCTCATGAAAGAGGTTTGTTGAAAGTCTGTAGAGCCAAGGTTTTACCTTATTTGTCACAGAATTCAAATAAAAATAGTGTCCATTGCAAAGCGGTTCGATAGGCTTACTGATATAGTGCATACTGCATATTCATATATCATAAAGAAATGCTAATTTGTAGCCTAGAAAGTAATAATTTAAAACGTTAACAGTTTTCATCTTTTTTGTTTTTTTTGTTTTTTGGGTTTTTGTTTTTGTTTTGTTTGTTATGCTAATTAATATTTAGTCCTTTAACTGCTTTATACTGGTTAACATACCTTTGAACTCTAGTTGTTACTGGGTAGATGTTGATATCTGACCTATAGTGAAAGTTCATAAAGTTAATTTATTAAAATTTTAGCATTGAAATTAAGTGTTTTTTATCCAGTCCTGCTTAATGGTTCGTTCCTATGGTAAGTTGGGCATGGTTTTCTTTTTTTTTTTACATCTTCCACCTTATTTCGCTTTGGCATCTGGCCCGTGGGTAAAAACTTCTGGTGCCAGATTATTTAAAAGCAATGAGCGAGTTCTATGGAAGCTGTTCTAGGAAAATTTGAAAAGCAAGTGCATTGGTTCTCAGGAGGGAGACAAGGTTTATTCTATATTAAAGAGAGGGCTGTTTGCGAGTAGATATGGTGTCATAAAGGACCTTTGTAGTTTGATTTTAAAAAACATCTTTTTTTCCCCCTGTACTGTCTTTTATTTGCACAGCAAGTTGATACAGAGAGCCTTGAGACTGATGGTATTGAGCTGACTCTGGAGGAGCAAATGAGGAGCCTGACTTTGGGCGATTTCACAGACGAAAAGAAGGAAGAAAATGCTCCTCTCGCATCCAAATTTGACAAGAAGGCCATGAGCACCAAGGTTTGTGAGGATTTTGTTTGGGGGTAAATTTGTTTTAATGAAAAGACTTAGTGAGCAATACATAAATGTTTATTTACTTGGCTTCTGTGGTCATGATCACTCTGGTTGAGTTTGTAGCTTGTGTACCTCACTTGAGGTAAATGGCTATTCAATGAAGATAAAGAACCACCCTGCTCAGTGTGAAATGGCAAAGAAACAAATAGTTTGGCATAGAAAATGGATACTGTAGGGTTTCAAAATAATTATTTGTTAAATGTTACAAATGCATTATTGTATTTCCTGTGCTCTTCACATTTCCAGAATAAATGCTACCTTTCTGTCTACAATCAAGCCTTTTGCTTGTATGTTTGTTGACTTATTTAGTTTTGCAGTTTTAAAAATTGAAATGATATATTATGAATATGCATCTGTCTATATGACTGCAATGATTGTCAACATTTTGTAGAGTTAAAGAATGATTACTCAGGCAAACTGTACTATAATGAGTTGGTTTGGGGTTGTTGTTTTTTTCCTCTCTTGTTTTGTGCCATGCACTCTTTGTTTGTGGTCTCAAGTCTCTACAAGTGTCCTCCATGGTCTACAACTAGCTTGTTATAGTGCTGTCTTCACGTCTACTAAACAATTTAATGAGACGTTTGTTTTTTTTGGTCTTTCAGCTGAAATGTGTGCTGGACAAGATACAAACAGTTTCTTCTGCCGACAGCTCCAAGAAGGGAGACAAATGGTCAGTCATGTTTACTTTTGTATGAGCTCAATGTTTGCTGTAAACAAAATGACTTCTCCTTAGGTGAAGCAGTAGATCAATGTGATAATAGTAGAAAGAAGGAAGGAAAGACAGATCTGAGCCTAGATATTCAGGGGTGCTGTTCCTCTGATAAAGGAGCCCCCGCCCCCCCCCCCCCCCCCGGTGCTCTTTCACAATTATGGTTAAAATTCATTTGAAAAACAAAAACAAAAAAAGCTTGTGATGTTGCTAATCGGTATGTAGTCATGCTTTTGCTCTTGAACAGGTTGTGAGAGATACCACTGGTAGTGATACTCCTTTGCAGTCGCTTTGTGGTTTCTATCAGTCTGATTTTTCCCAGCTCTAAGAGAATGTTGATATGTTAATGTGCTTCTCTTTTTTTAGAATAGGAGAAATGTCTTCCTTTGTTTTTAGAAAAATATTCTTTGAGTTGATACTACTTTTCTTTTGACATCATGATAAAGAAAGAAACAGATTTTTATATATTTTTTAAGAAAGACACAAGTGCATGTTAAATGACTTTGAAGATATGAAACATGACCTCAAATGTTTCAGGTGGGACACACACTCACACACACACACACACACACACACACACACACACACACACACACACTCAGTGAGATAGATGGATGGTCACGCACACACACTTTTGCTTATTTGTGTTTTTTTAAATTTGTGCAACATTTTGTTTTTCCATGTAAAGAATAGTTGAAAGTTGGAAAGGGACTACTGGAAACTATCTTTATTTCTAAAATCCTATTTACTCTCTTTTTCTTTTCTTTCAGTGTAATTGTTTCTCAATGGACTCAGATGTTGGAGATAGTTGGCCACCATCTGTCTCGTGTTGGTATTTTGTACAGTGTGATTCAAGGGAACATTCCAGCAAAAAAGCGGATGGATATCGTTGATGATTTCAATTCAAATCCAAGAGGAGCTAAGGTAAATTGTTTTGTTTGGGGCTGTTTTTGACTTGTGTCAATTGTGTGACCCGAGGAAGTCAAAATTCTTTGTAAATACAGTCAAACCAGCCATGGCAGAACCCTATTCAAGATGGAAACCTATCATGACGGAATCATCCCGCCGCGCGCGCCCCCCTGATAAATTCCTCTATATGTGTGTGCGTGCCTGGTGAAATTTGCATATTTTGAAGAATTGCGTTTTATTTAATTTAATGGTACAAAAATCATTTCTGAACAACTTGCTTTTTAAATTTTAAAAATATCTTCAGTTTGAGATCTGGCTAATATTGTCAGGTATGGTGTTGAAACATCCCTTTGATTTGGACTGAGTTCTACTCTTTGTAAATATCGATCGATTGGCTGTCAGTGTTGTATCTTTGAAACATTTGACAGCACTGTAATTACAGAAGGTGCAATTTTTTAAAAAGCAGTTTAAGACAATTACACAGTTTCAAAATGTTATTAAAATCATTTTCAAGGCAAATTCATGGTCAGTTAAAACTAGAAATTTTGCAAAGCTGACTTTGGTTTGCTGAAGCTGTGTGAGATGATACGTGTATGCACGAGGCCTCCCTTCCTTTACTACGTCAGTGTATTCATGCACACTAAAAACCACTCAAAATGATTCAAGCTGACCTAAATTTTGACATACAATGGTAAGGAGTTGATATATTTTTATGAATGTCATAAAAATGTTCATCAATGACAATGCTAGAAATTTCGAAGAGTGGCTTTGTGGCTTTTCTTTGCTCCTAAAGTGGAACAGGATGCAAATGCGCAAAATCTGCCATCCCTTACTTTTTGTTACACTCATGCGTACTTCCCAGATCGAGTTAGGTAACAAGCTGACCTAAATTTTGATATGCAGTATGATGGGGTTTGTTTTTATGAATGAGTCGTAGAAACCTTCCATAAATAGTCTATGGTAGCAAATGTTCTCACACAATCTGTTATTACGTAAGATGGCTTATGTAAAAATCATCGTCATCTTCCAGTTCCAGATCTGCGGCAGACACCGGCGATCATGGTTCTCCGTTCATTCCTTTGCTTGGGTGCTCTTTAAAAAAGCTAGGTTTCCCTGATCTTTCCCAGTTACCTATTTGTTCAGGTTCCCTATGTAGATTGCTCTGGGCCTACCTCTGCCTCGTTTGCCTTCAATTTTGCCATTGAGAACTGGTTTTCCTGAATCATCCCACATCTTCAAGAATGACAGATTTGTTTAATGGAAAAAAAATACAATGACTCTCATTATAATGATTTGAATCCCCTTTTTGCAACATGCATTGCTTTTTTTAATTTGTGAAGTTGAGGGGAGATTGCTTGTGATTAATTATTTTGATTTGATGCTGTGGCTTATGAATACTGTAAAACGTCAGTGTGGTACACCTGCATCAATTTTGAAAAATGTTGTTATTGTACATTTGGTATTCGAAAAATGCTTTTTGGACTTGTGACAGTGCTCTGTAATGCTGTTTTGTGAGTGTGCTTTGTCATGGTTTGAATGAATCTGATTATATGGTTTCTCATTTTATTCTCATGAATATTTTTGGTTCCCACAGGTGATGTTAGTGTCTCTCCGTGCAGGAGGAGTAGGATTGAATCTTATTGGTGGAAATCACCTTTTTCTACTGGACAATCATTGGTAAGATGGCAATCAATGTGAATATTAGATGATTGTTGTGTATGATTGTGCGGGTATATGTGTGCTCCTAGTACAGCAGATTTTTGTTAAATTGTTGCCATTGGATTTGTCTGGTAAGGCTCAATGCAACGACAGGAACAGCATGTAGTATTCCCTACTTACTGTTAACAGCTCGGAGAACTTTTGATAGCTCGGTGATAGAAAGTGTCAGTGTACGTTATAAATGTTCTTTGAGTTGAAAAACCTTTTGTTGATTACATCTGCACTTTTGCTGGGAAAAAGAGAATTTTTTTATTTTTATGTTTAAATAAATATTGTGTGTTATGGATAGAATCCATCTCTGAAAAACCTTGTTATGAAATCAATTACTAAATATCCTGTTTCCATAAATAAAGGTTCCATTTTCTTATGTGTTTTTTTGTTGTTGTTGTTGTTGATTTTAATTTAAATGCTCTTGGAATATTTTTGCTGTGTCATTTTATGTCACTCTGTTTCCCATTCCTTTTTATTCTCCTATTTATATGGTTAGTTGTTTGTTATAAGTATACAGATCAATATCATTTTTGTATTCATGCTTGTATTGTGACAAAAGTACAAATTCTTTCGGCTTGTGCAGTGCTAAATACTTTTCTAATTTTAGGAATCCTGCTCTTGAAGAGCAAGCATGTGATCGCATATACAGAATGGGACAGAAAAAGGATGTTTTCATCTACAGGTAAATATTTGCATATTCACTTTTCTTAAGTTGCTATGGTATAAAAAAAAGTTGTTTACAAAATGATCAGAAAAAGCAAATTTATTAGGAAAAGAACGCAGGTTTTAACCAGCCTGTTTCTCCTAACGTACAGGATGGGCAAGTTATTAATTTCTCCGTCTATGTTTGTGACTTCAGGATTTGTGTTGTCGATTTCATCAAATTTAAGAATGATTCAGTTACATCAGTGAATAAAAAATATGGTGATCCTGCAGATCGCAAAAGTAACATTTTTGGGAATCGTCGCTTCATTGACGGAATTATGTGTGTTTCCAAAAGTTTTGGGGATTAAATTCATCTCCATTGCACCCCCTGAATCTAAAGTAATTAATGAGAAAATGTGTGAGAAATTGATTCTGTTAAAACAAAGACTAAAAAAGCTGAATATCTGGTCTATCCTAAGAACATGATGCCGACCAGTGTAGATCTAGCAGAACGAACCACTTGCTGGCTTTCACAAATTTACCACAAGGTCTATGTCTGTCCGCACTTTTGGTGCTTCAAGTTGGCAAACGGTAGTGGCATCTCCATGTGCTTCTTAGTAAGCAATGAATCTTGCAAATCTTTTTTGATCTTGGATATCATTTGTGTTAATTTTCCATGTCCATTGGGTTAAACATGACATTTTTTTTTCATTTATCTTACATATATATATAAAAGGGGGGGTCATAAGATATGGACCAGGAAGGGACCCAGACATGTGTATAGCCCGTTTTGCAATATATAAGCTCCAGGGGAGGGGGAGCAGGGACACTGCTCTACAGTTGATGGTAGTGTCACTCTTATACTGCAGCCTATTCTTTGTCAGTATTTATTTGGTACTGTCTACCAACCAAGGGCCTACTCTAGCAGAAATGGATCCTGGAAATCCTCTGTGTGGGCCTGAGCTTTGAAATGATGTATGTTTAGAGTAATAGTGCATTAAAGTCGCACAAAAATAGATTTTAAAATAAGCATTGCATTTTCTTTCCTTTATTAAGTATTCTTTGATTGCCTGGGTTTTTAAAAATGTTGTCTCTCTTTCTCAGATACCTCTGTAAAGACACGATAGAGGAAAAAATAGTAGCTCTACAGCAGAGGAAGATGTCCTTGGCTAAATCAGTGCTCTCAGGGTAAGTGAACATGTTTTCCTGTATTATCCTTTTGTAGTTTAAGATTTTTTAGAGGGGATTTTTTTTTGGGGGGGGGAATTGTATATGTAGTAATTTTTTTTTTTCCTGAGATGTCAGCAAAAGTAATAAATGAGGTCAGTTCTGGTCGATTTTGAGTCATGCTTACTAATCATAGCTTTCAGAAAAGACAAAAAAACATAAACAAACCCAAAGTGGTTCATTGACCAGAGAATATAGGAGAAACGATGATTGGAAAAGGTTAAAGCCTGTCAACCAGTCTCCAAGTTGACGGTTGTTCAGAAAATCATAAACTACCTATAGTGGTGTGTGTACACACACACGCACATACTCTCACACACTTTTTGGGGGCACAGTATTTTGTGAATGATGATGCAAAATCTCAAAATGCATGAGTGTCTGAGAATGGAAGCCCATTTTGAAAAATATGTATTTTGTGTTTTCTGGTATTGTTCCTCACAGACGTACCAATTTCAAAGAAATGTTTTAAACTTCAAGACCAGATTTACAAATAATAATAAGAAAGCCCATCAGTAACTTTGAAAAATCTTTTGCTGCAGGCTTACTTTGAATAGTTTGAATTTATTGTAAGTGTGTGTGTGTGAAAGAGAGAGAGAGAGAGATATATATATATATAGATTTGGAAGGGGTAAACGTGGCCGATGCCCACCTTCTAGACACCTGGATAAAGTCTCTTTTTTGGGGGGGGGGGGTTGTTGAAAACTTGGCAGCTATGTATGTAGTATTTGTATTTCAGGGACTGGTGCGTTAAGACTAAGTTAGAGAGCTTTAATTAGGCAAGAAGTTTTTTGCAATGTCTTCCTTCACCAACATTTTAAAAATCTGTAATCATTTTCACCCTGGAATTAGTTTTTTCTTCCTTTGATAATATTATTGTTGATTCAGAAGTAATTAAGAGTATGTTTTGTCTCCTCAGGTCCGGTGTAAAGAGTCAGAAACTCTCATTGAGTGATCTGCGCATGCTGTTTGGTGTGTGAAAAGCTGATAAAGGCACAGATGAGATTCTTATTTTTGAGAATGTGGTGTCATCGAAATGCTTTTTATGACTCTCTTCTTCATTTGAGTGTTGTTCTCACAATGTATGCAAAAGGAAACACTCTTCTACTTTATAGATCTGTTTATTTATCAGTGCTTCCAGTCTTCTGTATTTTTATGGAAATCCGTACTTTCTGACAGTTCCGTACTTGCTCCCCCATCATTATCAACTCTATCTGTAAAAAGTGCGATAGCAAAGGGTTATCAAAATTCCGTGGCAAAAGATCCATTCTCGTCTTTGCATCGTCTTGCATAGGTTCTGGATATTTACAGTAATTCTCTTGGCAACAAGTGAATGTTATAGAAACCTGCCAGATTGCACATTTCCTGCAATTAGCCATTGTCCAGCTATGCATTCATTGAGGATTGGTCGGCTATACATTGTTACCTGCGCACTGATCAAAATGTGGCGAGCCATGATAGCGAACTTATTGTGCCCTTTTCCTCCTTTCTTTCTTTCACTAATATTCTTTCTGTCTATCTTTGATCAAGTAAATTGACTAGGGATTTTAGACAGAAAATCACTATCAGGAAGAAACTATTTGCAAATTTATTTACAGACTTCAACATAAGTTAAGGACCACCTTGACAGACAGTCCTGACTTTTTAAAAATCCGAAGAAAAAAAAAGACAACAAGGAATGTTTCTAAATTTTTTGCTCTGAAAGTGTTAATGGGTTAACAATGCATACTGCAAGCTTCCTAAAGGGGCAAACCACCACATGCGGCATGGACATCCTCAGGGAATTTAAGCCAAATTTACTGTTTTTTATCGACCTGTGTGTGACACCACAGACATTCCTCAATTAAAATTTCTGGTGTACGTCATAAATGGACATATGGTCTTGAACTGTGCTCACTTTGGTGGCAATATTAGCCTCCGTTTGGCCGAATGCCACCAAGACGAAAACTGAGAGACCTTGATGGTGCCAGAGCTATGGCACGGCTGCAGGATGGAATTGGAGCCGGAGAAGTTGCCAAAAGGCTTGCAGTGTCACACTCTGTCATTATCCGCTTGAGGCAGCGCCATCAAACCACTAGATCAGTCCAAGAACGCCCATGTGCAGGTCCACCCAAGAAGACCACTCAGAGTGTTTTCAAGTGGTCCTTAACTTGAAGTCTGTAGATCTTGAGAAATTGTCAGTGCGATGATTCTACGTAAGTGTGGTAAGGGCCGTGAAAGAAATTTATGCTAAAAACTATATTTTAGTAAGTTTTAGTTAACTTACTAAAATAAAAATGATTCAAAGTGCTGTTCCGAGGTTATGACATTCAACACTCAAACGAGAAAAATGAAGGAAAAATTAGGTTTTACGCTGGGTGACTGTATACTCTATTGTCAAGGTACATATGTCTATTCACTATTCCCAGGTTTGCCTTCTGTCAGTGGTGTGATGACAAATTATATTAATTGTAGTAGCAATTGCGAGCGGAACCTGCCTTTAAACATTACCAGCAATGGAAAGATTTGTATTTTTAGGTGGAGAAATAAAACAAGAAAAAATCTTGGTGAAAAAATGCCATTTTCAACCCTCCAATAGCACTAAATTTCAACTTCTTCTGAGCTTTGCTCCCTGTACCCCCACTGAGGGGATGCTGTCCCTGGACCCTCCTGGAGGCCTGTGCAGCCCCCAGAACCCTGGTGAAATTTTCCTTACGTTTCAGCTTTAGCACTGGTTTATCTGCTGCAAAACTTTCCTTATGGTTGTAGTCAAGAAAAACTTGATGAAAAATTTAAGTTTTTCATTAAATGCATGTTGCGGAGGTCAGGACAGAAAAGCCTTTTGCTTAAAGATATAAGTGTTACATCTTCGAAATGGCTCATCTTACACTGCATGCATGTACTTCTACACTTTGAAGTGGTTCTAGAAAGAGAAATGATTTGTAACATAGGGGACAGCAATAGTGAATAGGTTTTAAATTTGTTGTGTTAGGTTGTTTTTCTTGTACTGTTACATCAAAGATATTCGTCTTTTTGTTGTTTCTGCCGTGATTTCTCGACTACCTAACAAACCTGAGTATGTATGTTACTTCAAACCCTTCTTTGCACAGAGCATGCACCCCAGCATGAAGGTGGGGGGGGGGGGGTGTCTGTAAGACCTTGTTAATTTTTTTCGGTATTTTATTTTATCTCATCTCTGGATTGATAACAACATTTATTCTAATGAGGAAAACTGTGAGGTGTGAATCTTTGCATTCATATCATCTTTTATTGAATGTGTATGTTAAAAGATGTGTATAAGATGTGTTCTTAAAGTCCTCAGGCATTTTTATCAAAGACCAACTTTTTGTTATTCATGTGCCTGTAGTTTGACCTATTGCCATTAAAGTTCAAGGGCTTTCTCTGTTACCAATGTCTTTTTTTACATTCTGTCATTATGAGATTAGCCTGTTTCTGTACTTTGCTTCATTGTTTAATCGCTTTGGTCATATTGATTTGATTTTACTCTCAATTATGATATTGTTCATAAAGAATAAGGTAAGCCAGCATCTGTGAGTTATGACTGTTGGCTGAGAAAGAGACATTTCAGTTTCTTTCTCTGCACTATGTGCTCACTATTTAAAACAATTACAAAGAGACTTCTGGAGGTGAAGATTATGTGCTTGCAGATCAGACCAGCCCATGTACCTCAGGGCTTTGTACAGTGGAATCCTGTTATAACGAGAGGGAGGGGGCCGAAGCAAAATGTCCGTTATAGCAGGATTCTCGCCATAAGGGATCCAGTAATAAATTCAAGGGAAACTGTAAAGTAGGCCTAATCTATAAGTTTGGTGTTCTGTTTTTCCTTTTGCTATCTCCCCTGATGATGATTTTGTTTCAACATGACCTCTAGGTCTTGCTTGATTAAAAATCGAATCAGGTTTGTTTCTCTAGCACTAGATCTAGCAATGTGGACTGACCGCTCGGCGTTGGCGATCAGGAAGAAAGGGCTCTGGGCTAACTCGCCCGTTGTGTCCCCCCCCCACCCCACCCTCCGCCCTGTGGTGCATTCTGTCTGCTTGCGCGCGTCACACATTCGTTCCATCCATCACATTGCTGTGACCTCTCCATCCCCGCATCGGAGAAGTGAGAGGCATGGCAGGCCTTGATAATCTAAACTGACCTATAACGCGATGCGTTCTGCTTGTCTGCACATGCCACACTCTCCCTACTCAGTTGCTCCAGCCTTCATTGTTGACGCACATGGGCTCTCCTATTCTTTGTTTCGCAAGATCAGCAACAAGTTTCTCGACTGGCGAGGTTGTACATTATGTATAACTGGCCTATGCCATGTGCACAGCAGCAGCAATATTCCGCTATAACCGACTCGCAAGTGTGTCTGATAGCGCTATAGCAGTATTTTGTTTACAAAGGTAAAGAGGAGAAAAACCGGGGTTTTCGAATAATGCCTTTATAACAGACTTCTCGTTTTTTCCGGACTCGTTATAAGTGGACTCCACTGTACTCCTCTTTGAGGAACAAGGTCTATGGATGGTCGGAGGGAGCTCTAGTGTGATTCTGTTTCTTTTCCATCAAACGTGTATTGTCCTTAACCCTCTCCTGTTTTTTTGTGTTTTTTTCCTCTCTTGTAACACCTCTAAGCTTTGGCACTTATATGACCTAATTGTGTTGCAATTGCTGTAAAACTCTTACTAATGGGGCTCTCCTGGCCTGGGGGGGGGGGGGGGTGTTGGCCTCTCATTCATCAAAGGTCCTGGGTTCGAATCGGTGTAGCTACCGAAAACAATTTTTCTCTAAAATTGTCTCCTTTCACCTCCTTTCCTGCTCTCTAGCAATGTTCTTTTGCCTGCTTTAGTCTCCTCTATCTGCCCCCATCCCCTCACCTCCTTTGCCCCCTCCTCTGGGCTCCTGACACTTTCTGCAGCCTTTCTACTGCTACTCCTTGGCTCCTTCTTACTGCTGTCTTTCACCCACACCCCTGATCTTCTGTAGGAAAGATCTACTCCTAGCCTTCTCGGACAAGGGCGAAAAACCTCGGAGGGCCGTGTGCAAGTTGCGCACGTTAAAGATCCCTTGGTGGTCTAAAATCGATAAGAGTAGGCTTCGGCCGCCACCTGGGCAAAATTCAAAATTTCCTGCCAACTGAAAATTTTAGGTGAGACCCGCACTCTCATATGACCGTATGCAGTTTCGAGCGCCGTAAAACACTTGCCAAAAAAAAAAAAAACCAACCTCTTACTAAACAAAACAAACACACAAGGTTTTGCAAAAGAGGCTACACCAACACCCCAGCAGAATACGAAGTTGTCCATCTCACTGACCAATCAATCTGGCGAAGAACCTGCTATACTCTATGAAAGTCAATCAGTTTAAATATGTCCAGTGGAACTCCCAAGAAAAATGGAGGTCGATTCAGGAAATCACAATTTTTTCCCTATAATTCTTCCTCAAATATTTTTCATTTGATCTCAATGTGTTGCCTTGACAAGGTGGCAAATGCTCCACCTTTGATACATGAATATTGTATATACCTAGTTATCTTGTAGTTGGGCTTTCACCCTCTATTGAGACCAAAGTAAGTTTGTAAAGTGCATCAACAGTTGAACCTTTCCAGATGGTCACCTGTGTAAGTAAGACCAGTAGAAACGTCCACTTTCCATATTCCCACCCCTCCTCGTATTTGTTCTTCCATGCCCCCTCGCATTTTTTTCCTTTATAATGCGATAACATGTCCAACGTGGCCGCGGACACTGCATTTTATCAACTGACAGCCTCAACAACCTGTCCAAAATTGCAACGCAAATCTCTCATTGTCCCACGTGAGCTGCCCTTGACGCTGTGGACCAGCCATCCTAATCCAGTCATCCTTTGTTACTGTCGTTGTCCTTTAGATTATTTAGAATGAACCAATCTCTGACCATGACTTTGCAAAAGTGAGATTTCTGGTCCCTTCCTTTGTTTACCCAAGTTGATCTGCAGGTAACATTTTATTGGGCCTTAAGCAGTACAGTAGTCTCCTCCTAAGATCTCGGGAGCAAGGAAAATGTGGGATCTTAGGTGAACGCGATCTTCGCCGACGCACCAAGGGAAAAATCCATGGTGGCTCATGTTCAGGCCCACGACTGGTAAAATGGTCTCCCTTTACTCTAGAATTAACTGACGTGACCTCTGGGTGGGTTTACGACTTACGGCGAGCAAAAAGTGGTCGTGGGTGGTTGGCGGGTGCTCTGGTGTGGTTTGCTCCTTCTTTCCTATCAAACATCTATCGTCTTGATCTCTCCTCCTTCTTATTTACGTTTGTTACTCCCTTATAACACCTCTAATCTTCGGCACTTATATGACCTACCTATTGTGTTGCAAGTGCCATAAAACACTTACTAATACAAAAAGTGGTCAACCTTGCTGACCAATCACAGTGCCATTCTGACTGAGGTGTCTTTAGGCCATTCCCAATGGGGAGACATTTCTCGTACATGCACAGTAGAATTGTAAATGGGCTGATTCATCAATGTTACGCCCATAACTGTGCCTGATCTATAACAGGGAACTGCTGCTTTTTCTTTCCTAATCCTTACTATTGTCATTGTTTCATCTACTTCTTTTGTATGTTTGTCACACTCTTGTGACCCACTATTTCCAGGGTGCTTTAAAATAGTCGAAGCAGACTTAGTGCTGTTGAAGCGAGAGAGGTGAGCAGAGTAAGTCTGATTCCCTGTGAAGACTTCTCTGTTGACATCCACTCCTTGGCGCTCATATGACCGTATGCAGCTGCGAGCGCCGAGAAACCTCTACTAAACTACTATTACTAAGCACCTTTTATTTTGTGACAACACCAATTAAAATTCAGCCTGTCTCGCAAATTTAGGAGTAGAGACCACTGCTGCAATGGTCAGGGAAGAGTTCATAGTTCGATGAAATTCGAGGACATTTCAACAACCTCCTTGATGTGATCCTGGCTGGATCTTGTGTAGGACCTACCCACCCAGCGTGTGATTTGTTGTAAGTTTAGGTGAAGAGCTCAGATGCAAGTGCGATGTTTGGAGAAGACAACCGCGTTGGAGAGTTCAGCGGTGTGAACCCGGTGGGTCAAACATTGTATACTGTTTCATACAGATTTGTAAGATCTTTTGCCACAGACGTAGGTCTACTTTGAATTTACAATACAAAATGCAGTACATTGTACACGTTTGTACGGTGCACCGTTGTAACAAGGGAGAAAACCTTTACTTTTTAACCAGATAGATTATTCGGTTATTTCGCTTTAGGTCTGTCTCACAATTTCGAGTTTTCATAATTTGTCTTGTAAACCCCACTGACCTAAAACTATCCTTTTAGGTCAGTGGTAAACCCCATACACGTGTATAAAATACGGTAGCAAAAGAATGTTATGTGAATAAATTAATCCGGAAACTGCTCACAGAACAGTGGCCAGGGCATAGAGTTACCTTAGTGTACATCTATGGGTCAGGGTAAACAGCTATAGACTACATTTTATTCATCCACGTTACCCGAGGTCGAAGTTGCCTCATAGAGAATACCAACTTTCCCTTCTGTGGTAGTGGTACATAGTCAAAGGCCGAGTCGCGAGTCAATAACAAGCCCGAGTTTTAGTATTACTTTTTTCTCAAACATGCACTTTATTGTTGCCCCGTGTCTCTGGTTGAATTTTGAGGATGATAGAGAGGAAGAAACAAATCATAAATTTAAGACCCCTGTACAATTCCCGGCTTTGGTCCTTGAAGTTGAAGTAGTTCCAGTTCCAGTAGGCCCAGGTATGTTGAATGTTAGTCCAGGGCAACAGTCACCCCCCACCTTTTTTTTTGTCAATCTGTTTTTCCAGCTAGGCTGGACGATTGAATGTAAGAGGTGATTGCGACTAGGCCTACCTCTATTCAAAATTACATTACAATTAATGAGGTTGTTGAGTTTCTGCCGTTTGAACCGTTTCGAGCTTTTTTTCACGACCAAATAGACAAGCGCGTTCCTCGCATATTTCATGCAGTTTACATTTAATCTCACGAGGATTCAACTGAAGTCGGCGATGGGCGATGACCCATTGCGTGGAGAAGAATAATGATAAAGTTGAGAAGCTGGAAAGATCTAAAATGTTAAAATTATGTCCGTTACCGTATCATGGGGGGAGGGGGGGGGGGGGGCAACGTTTTTAGGATCTGAATAAAAATATTTGTTCCATTGGCTGTTACCGTTATGTTGAGATGTTGTTGTTGTTATTGTTGTGCGGGTCTGTGTGTTGAAACAAGAGGATGGGGGCTGAAGATGATATAACATTGAAGGATTTCCTTCCTCCAAATGCTTGTTTATCTGACTATTGATGACGAAAACTCAGGAGTACCCCGACCCCAGATAAACGTGCATTGTTAGTACCTGGCGAGGCCTATGGTTTAATTTTTTTGGGGCCCAATAACTTGAAATTATCACCCAAAGAACGACATAAGATTTAATTCATTAAAAAAAATAAATTTGGTAAATGTAAGCACCAGAACCTATAGATCTAGAAGCGACAAATATTTTCCATGAAATCAAAATAAAATCATGCACAATGTAAACTAAGCGCATACACTTAGATACCGTAATCTTTGACCAAATTCGAAACTGGCTCTCTGCTAGCTTTGGAAACTAGTCAAGCCTTCTTCTCTGGAGCGGAAGCAGTGAGAGAAGCGAAGAAGAGTTGAATAAACCAAAATCGATTTTACCAGCCTCAGAGTCAGTGTCGCTACGAGAGTCTTTGTATGAGTCGATCAGCTAGCGCTCGGTATCTTGAACCCGTATTATACACAGCAGGGATACGATGAAGAACATTGATAACAGTGCTTCTTGATTCACCCATGGAGTATTCAGGAATTGTTTTGGTCGTGAGCTTGATTTTCCAATGGTGCAATGGATACGAGTCGAAGACGAGAAGTGGGAGACGGATAGGTAAGTCTGGTACTGGTGGTGGTTAGTTGAGGGAAACCTGTGTTTTGTATTTTTTTGTCTTCGATTGTGACATGTGCAGTTGGCGTTATTTTAATGTAGCGTGATGATTTAAGCAAGATAATTCAGCAGTTGTTCCAAGGCAGGAGAACCAAAAACATAAACCGCACTTTTAAATTGAGAAAAGTCATGATCAAAGCTAAAAGTCCCCTTTCTGCCTTTCTTGTTCAAATGCTGTTTGCAGCAGTCTTTTCTATATTTTGATAAAATTATAATCAATGATGAATCATCGTAGCCGTAGTGTTGAGCCTGTGTTGTCTATTAGAGAGATACATAGAACGAATGCAAATTTGTTTCAGTCACTCACTGCTCTCAGAGAGGGCTAAGGCTAAGGCCCCTACTTGTCAGTCAGTTTCACAAAAAAGCTGTCTTAAGAGATCAAGGAAAGTATTGGAAGTGAAAGATCTGATCATAGTGATCTCTAGATCTAGATAGTAGATCTAGATCTAGAGATATATAGATCTAGAGTATAATAGAGTATAGAGTCTAGCAGTAGCAGTCTCTCTAAAAAAATAAGCAGTGGCTACGTTTACAGCGCCGTGCGTGAACGTAGTTGGCAGGCTATGTTCACAGCACCCTGAATGCAGTTTGCAGGCACTGTTGTCCACTGTTGAGGCTACATTCACGGCACTCAAGCGTTGTTTAGATGGAGCGTCCACTGCAGGTTTAAGAAAGCCGGTTTTAGTCAGTGACGACAGTGACGTCGCGCGACCTTGTGTTAGCGTGTGACGGCCCATGATATACGAGTGTAAACAAACGTTCCAGCGCTCTCGAGTTGAAAGCGTGCAAATTTGTCTGCAGGCAGTGTGTGTATGTATGTGTGTGTGTGAGAGAGAGAGAGAGAGAGAGAGAGAGAGAGAGAGAGAGAGAAAGAGAGAGCAGAGAGAGAGAGAAAGAGAGAGAGAGAAGAAGGTGGGGGAGGGGGAGAAAAAGAGGGAGGGAGAGACAGAGAAAAATAGAGAGGGGGGGGGGGAGAGAAAGAGAGAAGGAAAGAGAAAGGGGAGAGAGAGAGAGAGGGTGTTTGTTGAATAAGAATTTATGACTCCCGTCATTTTCTCTCGGCATCGGTTCCCAGGCTGACCCGGTGCAATACACATTTTATGACCACTCCAATTTTCCGAATCCCACCTTCTGTTTCCCATCTCACCTCTTGTTTCTCATCACTGTATCCAATTTTCCATCCCATATCCCGACTTTAATTCTGTAAGGACGTTTCGTTTTCCTTCATCTCACGGGATGGAACACTTGAAGTTGCCCAAAATGTTAAATATAATGTACGTCACTATCGTCACTGACTAAAACCAGCTGACTTAAACCGTCAGTGGACGCTCCCCCTTCAACGAAGCTTGAGTGCCGTGAATGTAGCCTCAACAGCGCCTGCTAACTGCATTCTGGGCGCTGTGAACGTAGCCTGCCAACTACGTTCACGGCGCCGTGAATGTAGCTACTGCGATAAAAATAACATGGCTGAACTTTGAAAGCCTCCAGTTAAAAGAGTAGGCCCACACCAATAGTAACAATGTCAGTCAATAGTGACAGTAAACAGATATATATATATTTCTCTTAGATCTTGATCTATTTTGCTTTGTTTGCTAATAATTTGCTTAAAAAAAATTCCTGCTTTCCTGTCCATTTGTTTTACTTGTGTCAATGGTTGGACCTTTTTTATAAACCGAGGGTTACCGATCATTTCGTTACACAGTCATCTCATCACACTCCCTTATGTGACGAAATGACTTTCACTTTCCTTATCTCTTGAAAATTGTTATACTAGATCTAGCACGAGAAGCACAGCGTTTCCCTAGAAGTAACCCGCCCCAAATGCATTTTCCATATAAATATAATATAAGGAATGCTGAAATTTTCCATTGAAAAGGGTCAGGGCCTGTGCCCTTTATATGGCCTGCACACTTCCCGGGTAGCGCGGTTCACACCCACCCCACCCCTCCAACCAATAGAAACAACTAAAAAACTCACCATTAGTAGATAGGGCAAAAACAACTGTGGGAAAATCTTTCATTAAAACCAACTCAACTAAACTCACCCAGTTGTGAACGGTGTTGCTGATCAGGTAGGCACAATGAATCGCACCCCCCGCTATAATTATAATGACAATGCGTGTTTGATGTTTGCTAGTGTGTGACGAAATCCTTGTGGATTTGGGGTGTGACGAAATGACCATTTGACGAGATTACTGTAACGTCTTGACTGCACCGGTGTGACGAAATGACTGGTATTCCTTACCGAGCATACACTGATTCCGAATGCCTGCTTGAATAAACAAACTTTTTTATAATAGAGAAACATTATATATAGTATATAGGTAAGCTCTATTCGGACTCGAGTCCGATTAGATTTTTATCTAGACCATTCAGACTCTCCGAAAATGGGTTATAATTATCTATTCGGCCTCGGGTCCGAAAAAATGTTTTAAAAATATTTAGCCTATTGGAACTCTGCTTCTAAGTGAGTTATAATGTGAGTGTAAGGAGGTTACATAATATAACTGTGGCCGCGGATTTTACGTGAAACCCGAATTAGAACTAAAATTACCTAAGTTAGGACTGTAATTGTGTCAAAAGTCAAAAGACTGCACTCTCGTTGCCGAATGGCAGTGTCTACGTATATTGTAACTCCGACAACTCAGAGTCTTTCCACCTCCACTTACTGCATCATGATTACTTCCACCGCCATTTGTCTTTCTACATGTTTAATTTCATTTTGTTGTATGTTTTAGTTTTTCTGTAATAATTTGTTTTTTAAGTATTATATCACATTGCCCAAAATCAACAACCGTGGCCTCTTCCCAACACCTCTTCCCCCAGCAAGCCGAGAGTGCGTGGTCGCTACGCGCAATCTCATTGGTCGACATAATTAACTTTGCCCCCAGCATGGTCAACTCAACTTGGTTGTTCTGTTCATACAATGATTGAAACGATGATGCAGGGAGGGCCAGTTTAGATAGATCTAGTAACTGGATATTAAAGCTCACATCTCGATTGTTATCATCATAATCGAAACATTTTTCATAAAAGTGCTTGGAATATTTAGGAACAAGGGTCAGAAGTCAAAAGTGACGTCATGCTGGACTCGAGTTCGAATATAATTTTTGTTTAATCGGGCTCGAGTCCAAATAGTCACTTCGAACATTGTAACAAAGAGATTGTGCTTTGGGATTTTTAACCCTGTTATACTGAAACTTTGTTATGACTGAGATCGTAAATGGCCTACAGTCTACAGTCCCTTTGTTCCTCCTACCAGAATGCAATGAGACTTATTAATTATATCAGATATATTATCATGATCTGAATCAAATGTAGGTTTTGACTGAACTACATCTACAGTGACCAGTCAGCCCCTTAACAACTCCGAGAACCAGGAATCAAATCTGATTTTATGTATTATATTCTTAGCTTTAACTTGAGAGAAATGCCCTGGCCGTCTGTGCTGCTCACTATGACAGTTGTCCACAAGTAAGTATGCAGGATCAAAGTGGGGCCCTTCTAAGAGGCTGTTGTTGGTGGAACAAAAGTCAAAACAAAAATGATATGCCTAAGAATGTGATTTAAAAACAGCAAAGAATCTGCCAAAGAAGCCAGTTTAAAATGAGGGATACTTTTTACAATCTTTTTTGTCTTGTTTTGTGAAAGCAGAGGGGACTCTTTCATTCGTAGCTGGGAAATGCACTCTGTAATGTTTTGAGGTTTCAACAAGATACAACATAGGAGAGATGAGAGAGAGGGGTGGATTGGGCAGGGCAGTGCAGAGGAGAAGACACCCTCACACTTTCCCTGTACTTTTTGTTTTAAATGGCCTGACAGTTTTCAAGTACATCAGGGCCTAGAGGTACAGTGTTCACCTCTCGTTCAATAGGTCCTGGGTTCGAAACCTGATAGCGACAGAAATTTTTTTTCTCTAAAATGTTCTTTTTTTTCCTTTTCTGTTCTGTAATCATGTTTTGTCATCTACTTTCATCTCCACTTTCTGCCTTCCCCCCCTCTCCTCTTGGCTCCTGACTCTTTCAACTGCTACCCCTGACTCCATCTTTCTGCTGTCTTTCCAGCCACATCCCTGATATTAGGGTATGTAAGATCAAACACCTAGCCTTCTCGGATAAGGGTGAACAAATCTCAGACGTTGCGTGTGCAAGTTGGACATTTTTAAGATCCCTTGGTGGTTCTTAAATTGATAGCGTAGGTTTGGTCGCCACCCAGGCAAAATTCAAAATAATTCCTACCAAACTTAAAATGTTTAATGTGTCCCGCATGCTAATATGACCTTATGCAGTAGTGAGTGCCGTAAAACACTTCAAACATACCCAACCAAGCCCAAAGGGGGCTCTTGTAGCCTAGAGGTTAAGGTGTTCGCCTCTCATTCAAAGGTCCCAGGTTCGAATCAGGGTAGCGATGGAAAATTTTTCTTCTTTAACATTGTCTCCTTTCATCTCCTTTCCTGCTCAAATGCAATGTTCTGTCATGATCTGCTTTCGCCTCCACCTTCTGCCCCCACTCCGTCACATCCTTTGCCCCCTCTCCGTCACATCCTTTGCCCCCTCTTCTGGGCTTCTGACTCTTTCTGCAGCCTTTCTACTGCTACCCCATGGCTGCTTCGTACTGCGTTGATAGGTCAGTTAGTTACTGAGTGGTTTTCAATTGGTTCAGGAGCCTGGTCTTCTCAGTCTAAAGTCAAATGCGTATCAGGATTGTCCTGGGGTCCATCGTATTTCAACAAAGATGGGTGTTTACCACAAGGCTGACCAATAAAAGCTGAGAGATGCCCCCAAAGTTTGTCTGAGAACCTGTCAATGACTAATAAGGGACCCATTTTTGCCAAATGTCTAGTACTAGTTGAGGTCTCCGTTTAGTATTTATTTGACGTGTTACATACTGTATGTCTGTGGTCTCCACTCTCTGTGGGGCTAACATTGGGTAACTATGACGTCA